AGCCTGTGTCCTCTAGTCTCTACAGCCTGTGTCCTCTAGTCTCTACAGCCTGTGTCCTCTAGTCTCTACAGCCTGTGTCCTCTAGTCTCTACAGCCTGTGTCCTCTAGTCTCTACAGCCTGTGTCCTCTAGTCTCTACAGCCTGTGTCCTCTAGTCTCTACAGCCTGTGTCCTCTAGCCTCTACAGCCTGTGTCCTCTAGTCTCTACAGCCTGTGTCCTCTAGTCTCTACAGCCTGTGTCCTCTAGCCTCTACAGCCTGTGTCCTCTAGTCTCTACAGCCTGTGTCCTCTAGTCTCTACAGCCTGTGTCCTCTAGTCTCTACAGCCTGTGTCCTCTAGTCTCTACAGCCTGTGTCCTCTAGCCTCTACAGCCTGTGTCCTCTAGTCCTCTACAGCCTGTGTCCTCTAGTCTCTACAGCCTGCGTCCTCTAGTCCTCTACAGCCTGCGTCCTCTAGTCTCTACAGCCTGGTCCTCTAGTCTCTACAGCCTGTGTCCTCTAGTCTCTACAGCCTGTGTCCTCTAGCCTCTACAGCCTGTGTCCTCTAGTCTCTACAGCCTGTGTCCTCTAGTCTCTACAGCCTGTGTCCTCTAGTCTCTACAGCCTGTGTCCTCTAGTCTCTACAGCCTGTGTCCTCTAGTCTCTACAGCCTGTGTCCTCTAGTCTCTACAGCCTGTGTCCTCTAGTCTCTACAGCCTGTGTCCTCTAGTCTCTACAGCCTGTGTCCTCTAGTCTCTACAGCCTGTGTCCTCTAGTCTCTACAGCCTGTGTCCTCTAGTCTCTACAGCCTGTGTCCTCTAGTCTCTACAGCCTGCGTCCTCTAGCCTCTACAGCCTGTGTCCTCTAGCCTCTACAGCCTGCGTCCTCTAGTCTCTACAGCCTGTGTCCTCTAGCCTCTACAGCCTGTGTCCTCTAGCCTCTACAGCCTGCGTCCTCTAGTCTCTACAGCCTGTGTCCTCTAGCCTCTACAGCCTGTGTCCTCTAGTCTCTACAGCCTGTGTCCTCTAGTCTCTACAGCCTGTGTCCTCTAGCCTCTACAGCCTGTGTCCTCTAGTCTCTACAGCCTGTGTCCTCTAGTCTCTACAGCCTGTGTCCTCTAGTCTCTACAGCCTGTGTCCTCTAGTCTCTACAGCCTGTGTCCTCTAGTCTCTACAGCCTGTGTCCTCTAGTCTCTACAGCCTGTGTCCTCTAGTCTCTACAGCCTGTGTCCTCTAGTCTCTACAGCCTGTGTCCTCTAGTCTCTACAGCCTGTGTCCTCTAGTCTCTACAGCCTGTGTCCTCTAGTCTCTACAGCCTGTGTCCTCTAGTCTCTACAGCCTGTGTCCTCTAGTCTCTACAGCCTGTGTCCTCTAGTCTCTACAGCCTGTGTCCTCTAGTCTCTACAGCCTGTGTCCTCTAGTCTCTACAGCCTGCGTGTCCTCTAGTCTCTACAGCCTGTGTCCTCTAGTCTCTACAGCCTGTGTCCTCTAGTCTCTACAGCCTGTGTCCTCTAGTCTCTACAGCCTGTGTCCTCTAGTCTCTACAGCCTGTGTCCTCTAGTCTCTACAGCCTGTGTCCTCTAGTCTCTACAGCCTGTGTCCTCTAGTCTCTACAGCCTGTGTCCTCTAGTCTCTACAGCCTGTGTCCTCTAGTCTCTACAGCCTGTGTCCTCTAGTCTCTACAGCCTGTGTCCTCTAGTCTCTACAGCCTGTGTCCTCTAGTCTCTACAGCCTGTGTCCTCTAGTCTCTACAGCCTGTGTCCTCTAGTCTCTACAGCCTGTGTCCTCTAGCCTCTACAGCCTGTGTCCTCTAGTCTCTACAGCCTGTGTCCTCTAGTCTCTACAGCCTGTGTCCTCTAGTCTCTACAGCCTGTGTCCTCTAGTCTCTACAGCCTGTGTCCTCTAGTCTCTACAGCCTGTGTCCTCTAGTCTCTACAGCCTGTGTCCTCTAGTCTCTACAGCCTGTGTCCTCTAGCCTCTACAGCCTGCGTCCTCTAGCCTCTACAGCCTGCGTCCTCTAGTCTCTACAGCCTGTGTCCTCTAGCCTCTACAGCCTGCGTCCTCTAGTCTCTACAGCCTGTGTCCTCTAGTCTCTACAGCCTGTGTCCTCTAGTCTCTAAAGCCTGCGTCCTCTAGTCTCTACAGCCTGTGTCCTCTAGTCTCTACAGCCTGCGTCCTCTAGTCTCTACAGCCTGCGTCCTCTAGCCTCTACAGCCTGCGTCCTCTAGCCTCTACAGCCTGCGTCCTCTAGCCTCTACAGCCTGCGTCCTCTAGCCTCTACAGCCTGTGTCCTCTAGCCTCTACAGCCTGTGTCCTCTAGCCTCTACAGCCTGTGTCCTCTAGTCTCTACAGCCTGCGTCCTCTAGTCTCTACAGCCTGCGTCCTCTAGTCTCTACAGCCTGCGTCCTCTAGCCTCTACAGCCTGCGTCCTCTAGCCTCTACAGCCTGCGTCCTCTAGTCTCTACAGCCTGTGTCCTCTAGCCTCTACAGCCTGTGTCCTCTAGCCTCTACAGCCTGCGTCCTCTAGTCTCTACAGCCTGCGTCCTCTAGTCTCTACAGCCTGTGTCCTCTAGCCTCTACAGCCTGTGTCCTCTAGTCCCTACAGCCTGTGTCCTCTAGCCTCTACAGCCTGCGTCCTCTAGCCCTACAGCCTGCGTCCTCTAGTCTCTACAGCCTGCGTCCTCTAGTCCCTACAGCCTGCGTCCTCTAGTCTCTACAGCCTGCGTCCTCTAGTCTCTACAGCCTGCGTCCTCTAGCCTCTACAGCCTGTGTCCTCTAGTCTCTACAGCCTGCGTCCTCTAGTCCCTACAGCCTGCGTCCTCTAGCCTCTACAGCCTGTGTCCTCTAGTCTCTACAGCCTGCGTCCTCTAGTCTCTACAGCCTGCGTCCTCTAGTCTCTACAGCCTGCGTCCTCTAGCCTCTACAGCCTGTGTCCTCTAGTCTCTACAGCCTGCGTCCTCTAGCCTCTACAGCCTGCGTCCTCTAGTCTCTACAGCCTGCGTCCTCTAGTCTCTACAGCCTGTGTCCTCTAGTCTCTACAGCCTGCGTCCTCTAGTCCCTACAGCCTGCGTCCTCTAGTCTCTACAGCCTGTGTCCTCTAGTCTCTACAGCCTGTGTCCTCTAGTCTCTACAGCCTGTGTCCTCTAGTCTCTACAGCCTGCGTCCTCTAGTCTCTACAGCCTGTGTCCTCTAGTCTCTACAGCCTGTGTCCTCTAGCCTCTACAGCGCTGCTAAACACCAGGGCTTCGACTTCAAAATTCGAATATAATTCTAAAATAAAAAATATTTACATATTTGAACAAATATTAGACAACCCTTATAATTAGAAATGTATTTAATGACTGCAAATAAAATAGTTAGCTCCCAAAGGTTTCACCGGGACGTGCTAGGCAGGTAAGAGCTAAGCTAGCTAGCTGTTTCATGGTAACTTCCGGGTTTTTCGCGATCGCTTTTTGTCACTTTAAAACAGTATTTTTGTCATGAAAACGTTGACAGCAAATTCTGAAATCGTCCGTGCATGTGTGTTAAGGATGTATATGTATACTGTATTGTCCGATTGACGTTTAATGGTGTTGATTGATTGATATGTATTTGTTTATTGAGCGTGGCTAGCTCCGCTAGCTTCTCTACACAGACAAGTGTGCAGAAAAACTGCACAGTGTAGTGACAGGCGCTGATAGCTTGTTGTACTTGCAAAGTAATGGCAGTATTACAAGTTGTGCTAATGCTAATGTTAGCATACGTATCAGATCGCAAATAAAACTAGATGGCTCCGTGTTATGAGAGCGTAGGGAAATGAGAGACCTCTGAGCGAGTTGGGGGGCGGTGCTAAACATTCAAACATTGCAGAAACGGGTATAGCGCCTTTAAACTTAACGTCTAATGTGTGGAAAGTGTTTTTATCTGAACGTTTATGACACATTCACTTCAAACAAGGATCCATCAATGAGCCGTGGTTAGAAGTGGAAATAAATGCATTTTATCCCAGTTCCTTAAAGCTGGGGAACCTCACTTTTGTTTCCTGAATAAGTAAATCATGCATTTATTTATCTCCACAGAAAGAGCCTCGTAAAATCAAACATTGTGAATAAATCAGACAGTAACAGGATGTCTTCAAATTAAAATGTTGAATCTGTTTATTTTACTTTTTAATTGAGATTTATGATGATTCTGTTTGAGAAACTGTAAATATTAGACTGAACCCACACTACTAATAGTTCATAATTCATAATGTTATTATTGCATGGCCTTTGTTCAAACTGCATGATTCTCTGATCTGTTGTTGGTGAATCGACAACTTTGTACAGTCCTCCGAGACGACTGCTGTTGTGATTTAGGGCGATACACAAATAAATTGAATTGAAATGAATAATGCACTAAATGTTTAAGGAGCTTTATACTTTTTCCTCAGTGAAATTATAGTTTAAAGTTTATTCTTTTGAAGCTAAAATATTTAAATGATTCTCAGTATTACAGCTGTGGACTGTGTTTATCTGATTTATGTTTTATTCTGAGTGTTCCTTGTGATACTACTGTCCACGTGCAGAAACAATATGCAACACTGAGATGTCCCACTGTGGGACCAATAAAGATTGTTTTATTTATATTCATTTAAAACATGTTCAAATCCTAATAATGTGTTTTACAGTATTTTAAATGTTGTCTCAGAGTAAAATCAGATTTGAAAAGATGCTTTTGTTTCTCAATCTGAACAAAAATGTTTGTGTATCGCTCTAAATCACAGCAGTCGTCTCAAAGGACTTTACAAAGTTGTCGATTCCTCAACAACAGATCAGAGAATCAAACAGTGTGCGTTTAATTGATTCATTAATTATTCCGGAAATATGGTCAAATTACTTAAATGAATCAAATGAATGAATTATGAAATTGTGAATTTGTCTGAATGTTAAAAACTTTAAATATATTTCAAATGTTCAGTTTTTCAAGTTTCAAAGTTGAAAATGTGCAGCACAAAAGGACAGAGACAGAGTTCGTCAGAGGAGTTTGAATTATTAGAGTAATCATTAAAAACTGAACCAGGTCAGTGGATTACCTGTCCTCATCAGAGCGTCCTTTCCATGACTGACGTATTTCTTCAGCCACATAGGACACTCCTGGGTGTAGTAGTTTTTCAAATAGGCATTATAACCTTCATCACTGTCCCACTTGAGTTTGGTGATGAAGGCCTCTTGTCTCGGTGCGATCCATGTCAGTGTCTTCAGGTCAAACACAATGAAATCTTCTCCATCAAATCCATATTGATTAAATCCATTCACTTCACCGGTCTCATCGTCCCATTCACAGCCGTACATCCACTGGTTAATGTGTGTCCCTGAGAAAAACAGACGTCATTGAACTAAAGTCACAAACACTAAACTCTGCTGCTTCACTGCCACAGCCGTCGCCACGGAAACGGAGACACAGCGACAGACCGAGATGAACGAAAAGAAGAGATTTTATTATAAACGCTATTATAAACCGAAGAAAATAATGTAAAAAAATATATATATTAGAAAATGTTATGTTTTAATCTAGTGAGTTTATTTCAATCTATAGGAGTCATTCTGTTACAGCTAAAAACAAGTTTAAGTTATTATTGATGAGAGAATGTTCAGATAAACGAACGGTTGATGAGAATGTTGGTAAAAGTGGAAAGAAATGACGATTATGAATATGTTGAAAAGAACAAGTTAATGTGATTATCAAGAGAGTTTCTGAAACAACTGTCGGCTTTAGAAATGTTTGAGGAAGATTTGACTGATTGACAAATGTAAACAAATGTTATAAAGTGAATGAGAATGTTGGAGAAAGTGGAAAGAGTCAAAAACGATGCAAATGAATGAGTTTTATTGTGTGTTTTTGTAATACCTGGATAAAAGCTTTTGGATTAAACATGTGTGCGTACAATGAGGAGTGAGAAGAATGTTGGGGAAGAAGAAAAGAGAACTCTAAATACGACTGTGATTCTAACAAGTTCAAATGTAACTTAATAATAAATGAAAACAGGAATTTGACACAAACACAAAGAACGGATTCATTTCGGTCGAGTGTTTATCCGTCATTTTGTAATAACTCAAAGAAACGTTTAGAGAATATTAAATGTGAATAAAAACTGATGAATGGATGAGCACATTTGTGGAGAAGAGAATATTTCTACGATTGTAAAACTATTGAAAAGTATCATTTCAATAAAACAGATTCATGTTTTAAAAATACTTCATTATAACAGAAAACATTAAGTAGAAAATGGATGAGAATAAAATAAGTCTTCACAAATATCTCTGGTATAATTTTGTGATATTTCAATTATGTTTTCAATGTAAAATAAAAATGAAATGTATAAATGTGTAAAAAGAAGTGTTTTAAGAGGACAGTGTCTGTGTGGCGCCCTCTGCTGGTGGGAAATCTAAAACCTTTGCTTACAACTACAACTGACCTGTGCTTAAAAGTAACAACATTAAAAACATGATTTTAAACTTTAAAGCATAATTCTATATTTAAAAAAGTATATTTTCTGTGGATTTTCTGTTTTTACATTGATTTATTAAAGTTGCTTAGTTTATTATTTAATTCAAACATAAAAGTAGCAACACAAATAAACAAAAACAAATTAGAGCTAATTCATCTTTATTTAAATAATTTGTCACTAAATCAACCTCAATAAAGAAGAAAAAGAGTCATTATAGAAAAGTGAAAGACTAACCTCCAGTTTGGTTCAGGCGCCGCTTCACAGTTTCAATGTTGGCTTTGAAGGTCTGCTGGGAACCCAAAGCCAACTGAGTCTCTCTCTCCCAGTACTGAGGGTCATCTTCTGTGGCCTCCTTCATCCAGTCCTGTTTGGGCACTGCTTTCTTTGTGTCACTGTCATAATGAACAATCTGAACATCATCCACTAAACCCACAGCAACAAACTCTGGGAAGTTTGGGACTTGAGACGATGCAGTGTAGAAATACTTCAGAGAGTGTTTCACTGTGTAACAAAAAAACAGAATAAGCAACTGAACTAATAATAATAATAACAACTAATAATAATAATAATAATAATAATAATGATAATAATATAAAGCGCTTTGTGACTCTGGTCTGTGAAAGCACTATATAAATAAAGATTACTTATATAATAATAATAATAATCTACCTCACATGAAGCCGTACACAACTCAATAAACAATATCAGCCTTATCAAATATTATTCAACTATAATCTTAGCAACATGGAGCAATAGTTTCTGACTGAAACCAAAGACAATCACAACAAACTGAAACTAGACTAAAATAAGAAGTTAAAGTAAAAGAAAGAGCACACTGCTTCTCCTTCATGGTCCCATCGTTACTCACTGGAAGAGGCGTCTTGTAGAAGAATCCCCAGAACAACCAGACAGACAGAGGACTTCATGTTGAACTGTCCTCAAGACACAAACCTACACGATCAAACTCACCCCGACAATAACCCAGGAGAGCAAAGGATCACGGGGAAAAAGGCTGAGAGTGGGCGTGTCCTGCTCAATTTACACCATTTCAACCAATCACAGTCAGTATCTGGGCAGATGTGGCTTGGCAGGTTTGAAGAGAAAGTGAAAGTAAACTCTGATGGCGTCTTTTCTTGTATTTCAATGTTTTTACACTGATATTAAAAGTTTACGAGTCATTAATATTCTCAGTGAAGTCAGTGATCAGCGTTTTAAAAAGTGGTGTCAAGCTTTTGGGCTACTTTTGGTCATTTAACCCAAAACGAGGACACCTGAGCAAGTGCAGTCGGCTATAGGCTGTTTTAACTATTGTCTACAAATGACTTTTTTCTAATTAAACCTTTAGGAAACAGTTTCATGTCATTGATTTTACAGAATCAAGTTTATATGGCTTTGTTCTGTGTGTAGCCATGTGGAATAAATAGTTATTAATTTAGAGTAGGTTATTTAGAAGCCTGTTTTAGTCCTGTCTGTAACCAACGTGTGACTGAATCTGCCTAAAATGAAGAATAGTATTTTCCATTTAACATAGATTTGCTGAGTTAGTCTTTCTCCAATAGATTCAAACTTTATTAGATCTCAGATTTGTAACAGCAGTGCTTATATCTGCACAAAGCCTTTTCATTTTCGTTTTTTTAATGTCATGAAATTAGCTCAAGTGGAACAGATGAAGCCAAGCTCACACTATATCATTGAACTAATGAACATGATGTGTATGTAACATAAAACTGGCTTCAGCCTCATGTTGGGGCTGAATGGGAAATGACAAGTTAGAAAATAAACCTGAACTGACCAAAAGAACTACTGTAGTGACTTTTGCAGCCTGGGCTTTATCTTCTATGGACGTGCAGGTGTTGTTGATGAATGTCCAAACTTACAGATATAGTTACAATGATTTCATGAAGTATTGTTTGACAGGTTCCACTTTTGTCACTTTTACATCCACCAGAAATCTTCACATTCCACAGAACACCATGAATCACCAAAAAACAAACCTTCACACTCAGGCTCACCCTATTATACCTGAGGGCTCCCCCAACTGGATATTTAAGGAAGTGCACCTAAGCCAAGACCTCCCATACAATAAAATGTATAAATAAATACCACAGTTTAACAGTTATCACAAATACATTTATAATTAGACCAAATGATAGGACAATATTCAACAACTACATTGGCCATAACAAAACCTAAAGATCAGTGATGCATCTACTACTGTATTATTCATTAAGTATTTATTTTTGAGGCAATAAAACTCATGGAATTAAATAAAATAAAAGATACAGTTTATGTATGAGCCATGTCTTGGAACATTATAGAACACTAAACTAAACTTCAAATAAACACATTCATCACAAGTCAATAAACACAGACTGTATCAATATCAAATGTCCTTTATTGGTTCCACAGTGGGGAAATGTCAGTGTTGCATCAGCAGTTACAGAACAGTAAGAATGAGAAGCACACAGCACAAGATAAATGAACAATTACTCTATACTTTTAAAACACTAATAAAATAAAATCTATAACTTTAGCAGAATAAAAAAGCAAGTGTAAAATATATTCTAGTGTAAGAAATATGTAGTTGTATGTTTACGTCTGTACATGTTAGCAGCATGAGGCTCTGGGACACAGCACAGTGGATACATGGGCTTCCATATTGCACATTCTGACATTATTCAGATTATTGCACAGATGCACATCAGTTTAGATCAGTGATGACTGTTGTGCTGCATTTTCAAATCACACAATAAATAAACATTTCATTTTCTGGTTGTTTTATGAATACCTAAATCCAATAGATATGAATCCATATTACTAAGAACAATATTTTGACTTACTGTTTCTTAAAGCAACAGCATCAAATGACATGTTTTTGAAGAATATTACAACATATTCATGAGAGACAGTTGTACACACAGCCACACACAAATACGATTCATGAAAAGGAAAAGGGGAAAAGCTAAATGACTGAAAGACCAATCAATCAATCATTTATTTGTAGAGCGCCTTTACTACACAAGGCAACGCAAAGCGCTTCACATCCCCTATCACATCATGCATAAATCAAACACATTAAGAGCACAAGATATATTAAAAACATTAAAAATAAAATCACAAAAATTAAAAACCTTTAAACATTAAAATCACAGATGGGACTAAAATCATAAATAGTCACAGTGCATTAAAAAGATTAAAGATAAAAACAAAGATGAAAAGATAAAATCATTCAGTTGTATATGCGCAGCTAAACAGAATTGTTTTGAGCCTAGATTTAAAAGATGCCAGAGTAGACGCCTGTCTCACATTCTCAGGAAGACGGTTCCAGACTCTAGCCGCATGAATCTGAAATGCAGTTTGCCCATGTCTAGTACCGACTCTGGGCACCAACAGGAGTCCAGTCCCTGTGCTCCTCAGAGTCCGGGTCGGTTCATATGGCACAAACATGTCGTGGATGTACCTTGGCGCGAGACCATGGAGAGACTTGTACACAAGTAAAGCTGCTTTGAAGTCTATTCTCTGAGGAACAGGAAGCCAGTGCAGAGACCTGAGAACTGGACTAATGTGGTCGTACTTCCTAGTTCTGGTCAGGACTCGAGCTGCTGCATGTTGAATGTACTGCAGCTGTTTTACAGCCTGTTTGGAGAGACCTGTGAACAAGCCATTGCAGTAGTCTAACCGACTGGAGACAAAAGCGTGTATAAGAGTCTCCAAGTCTGCCTTAGACACTATGTTTTTAATTTTAGCAATGTTTTTTAGGTGGTAATAAGCTGCTGATGTTACAGATTGTATGTGGCTTTTGAAATTTAAGTCTGAGTCCATTATCACTCCTAGATTTCTTACCTGATTTGAGGGTTGTAGAGAGAGAGCCTGGAGGTGACAAATAACGCTCTCTCTTTGTTTCTGGGGTCCGAAAACAATTATTTCAGTTTTGTCGGTGTTTAGTTGGAGAAAGTTATTTTGCATCCAATCACCGATTTGCTGGACACAGTGAAGGAGCGAGTCCACTGGTTCATGCTCTCCTGCTGTCAGGGACACATAGACCTGAGTATCGTCAGCGTAATTGTGATAAGAGACATTATTACTGTGAATCAACTGACCTAGAGGCAACATGTAAATATTAAACAGAAGAGGACCCAGGATTGACCCCTGTGGCACTCCGCAGGTCAGGGTTATCACAAATACATTTATAATTAGACCAAATGATAGGACAATATTCAACAACTACATTGGCCATAACAAAACCTAAATATCAGTGATGCATCTACTACTGTATTATTCATTAAGTATTTATTTTTGAGGCAATAAAACACATGGAATTAAATAAAATAAAAGATACAGTTTATGTATGAGCCATGTCTTGGAACATTATAGAACACTAAACTAAACTTCAAATAAACATATTCATCACAAGTCAATAAACACAGACTGTATCAATATCAAATGTCCTTTATTGGTTCCACAGTGGGGAAATGTCAGTGTTGCATCAGCAGTTACAGAACAGTAAGAATGAGAAGAACACAGCACAAGATAAATTAACAATTACTCTATACTTTTAAAACACTAATAAAATAAAATCTATAACTTTAGCAGAATAAAAAAGCATGTGTAAAATATATTCTAGTGTAAGAAATATGTAGTTGTATGTTTACGTCTGTACATGTTAGCAGCATGAGGCTCTGGGACACAGCACAGTGGATACATGGGCTTCCATATTGCACATTCTGACATTATTCAGATTATTGCACAGATGCACATCAGTTTAGATCAGTGATGACTGTTGTGCTGCATTTTCAAATCACACAATAAATAAACATTTCATTTTCTGGTTGTTTTATGAATACCTAAATCCAATAGATATGAATCCATATTACTAAGAACAATATTTTGACTTACTGTTTCTTAAAGCAACAGCATCAAATGACATGTTTTTGAAGAATATTACAACATATTCATGAGAGACAGTTGTACACACAGCCACACACAAATACGATTCATGAAAAGGTGAGTATATGAATAGTTCTCCCAAAGCTCAAAGAATAAACAGGTAAAAAGTGGAAAAGCTAAATGACTGAAAGACCAATCAATCAATCATTTATTTATATAGCACAATTCATGTACAAGGCAATTCAAAGTCCTTCACAAGAAACATTTAAAAACACAGAAAAAATCCATTAAAAAGTCAATAAATAAACAATTATTTGATGTTAAAACAGAGGAGCATAAAAGTATGGGGTTTAAAACTCATTAAAAAGTGGGTTTAAAAGGGAGATCAAAGTAATAAGTTGTACAAAATAGAATCAGTTGTATGCACAGATAAAAAGATTCAAATTAGAATGTGTTATTAAGCTCTGAAAGAATATGAACAAATGAATCGTCATAACTTTATCATAAACCTTTGCTTTGGACTCATCGCTGCTGCAGGTTTCTAACAGCTGTGTTCTGCTCTGGATTACTCTCAGTAACCAGTATAATTACTGAATTGTAACTCAGTTGTATTTATATGTTAAATTAATGAGACCAATTTAAATATTTATCGACAGAATGTGAGTTTATGCCATGGGGCAGAAGAGGTACTTGACAAACATGTGGAGACTTGAGCCCACTCTGCAGGCGAGCAACATGTTCCATTGTCTGACATTTGTGCACAGGCAAATCAAAAGTCCACGTTTTAATGGTTTGATTTTTCACAGAAGGTTCAGGGCAAATATCTCTGAATGCTGCAAAATGATGAATTGTTTCTTAAAGTATTTGCAGATCATAAACATTTGAAAATAAGTTTCTGTCTCACACTGGTTTAATATTTCTGATCCATCTGTTTGTTCTGTGTAGATTTAAGAACTTGTTTATCCCTCTTGCCATTGGTGTTTTAAACAGATCACTGTAATTCTGCTGTATATCTTTAATTCCTTGTGTATGTGCATCTTTCTGCTGCTGCACCAAATTGTCCCTCGAGGAAAATGAAGAAACCTTGAACCTTGAACCTTGGGCCAGAAACGTTTTCAGATTCAAATTTGTTTTTTGTAGCAGCTCGATCAAACCAGGATCAAACCAGGATCAAACCAGGATCAAACCAGGATCAAACCAGGATCAAACCAGGACCGAACCAGGACCGAACCAGGATCAAACCAGGACCAAACCAGGACCAAACCAGGATCAAACCAGGATCAAACAAGGATCAAACCAGGATCAAACCAGGACCGAACCAGGACCAAACCAGGATCAAACCAGGACCAAACCAGGATCAAACCAGGATCAAACCAGGATCAAACCAGGATCAAACCAGGACCGAACCAGGATCAAACCAGGATCAAACCAGGATCAAACCAGGATCAAACCAGGACCAGTGAGCACCATGTGTTTTCTTTACTCATATGTGACGAGGATTGTTCTTCACCTCGGAGTAGGAATTTAAAGTGCTTGAGTGATTGTGCAAAGGTAAAGAGTTCCACAGCCAAACACCAATAGCCAAGGTTCACCAGAGACAGATGTTTTAATCAGTTGGTGCAGGTGATTTTCCTCACCCTGTTACATGGTTGCTTTAAATACACCACTTTCATGTATTTTTATTTGAAAATGGAATCAAAGAATCACATTTGATCCAGTCGGGCATGTGGAAGCCTACATTGCTCATTTTGTTTGCTATTTGTTCATTTATAAATGTTGTTCTTGTCCTGAGACTTCTAGTGGGCCATTATAATTCTGTTATGTTTCTATACTGAGTTAAATGTGAATCAAAGCAATGTTGTTTTAGTTGAATGTATATCATAACAACAAATGGAGGGCATAACATGTGTGATCTATAATGTTATTGGCTTAGGTAGTCCGATTAAAAGGAAGAAAGAGCTGAACCCATTGAAAAAGCTTAACTGTGCCATAGCAATGCTTCAGGAAACGCATCTTTCAGACGAGGAACACATGAAGCTGAGGAGAGAATGGGTAGACCAACAATATACTGTAGCTCCTCGCACCAAAGCGGGAGAAAAAGAGCGGTTGCTATCCTTTTTAACAAGTCAGTGTGTTTTTGCCATGAGAAAACTATCAGTGACAAAGAGGGGAGATTCCTTATGGTGATTGGATGTATAGGGGGCGTTAAAATTACTTTACTAAATGTATATGCTCCAAATGAGGACTGTCCTATTTTCATTCAAATGGAAAATGAGGGAGTTTCACATTTCTGTTGTTCTGAATATTATCGTTGAAGTTCTTTTGTGTTGTTTCTTTGTATGTGAGGGGACTTTGTATTGTCCCGCCCGACGCACCATTCGTTCTTATGTATCTTTGGTCCAGTGGTGTGATGATCTCCTCTTTGTATCCAGAGAGCCTGAACACACAGTTGTAGCGGCCCCAGTCTTCCGATGGGACAGAGGACACGTCCAGCTCCGCACTGGTCTGGAAGGTCTCGTCGTTGTTGGGCAGGGTCTCCCCAAAGTCCACGCCCTCGTAGAATATGTCTCCATCTTTAGTCCAGAACAAAGAGGCTGTGTCGGGGAAGAAACCAGTGGCGTGGCAGGTGACGGGGGACGACGAGGACTTCTGCAGCAGAGAGATGGACGGGAGGACTGACAAACACAAATCATGGTCATTTTTAGAAACGTTTTATGCATTGGTATTTACTCACAACTTGGACTAGGATATGTTTTTATTAGGGCTGTCAAAATTATCGCGTTAACTCACGTTAATTAAATGTTTCATTAACGCGTTAAAAAAAAAAATTAACGCATTAACGCACGTCCGAATGACCTGCCCATTTATCCATAATATCACTCAGAATGCTGCGTGTGAGATGGCATCAGAGCAGGTAGGCCCTCTGGGGATTCATGTTTTAAAAGAATACGCGCGCCACCGCGGGGCTGTTGTTTGCTGTGAACTGAAGTCCGCCTCCTCCGTGGCCGCTCTGACTGTGAGCCGCTCACAACAACACGGCTGTGAGCGGCTGTGAGTGAGTGGCGCCGCGGTAACATGGTCATACGCGCAGCAGACGCGCGTAACTTTTTTCCATGTTAACCTATGATGATATTTACACTTCTAGCGTTATATGAGCGTATGACCGACGTATGACGCGAAGCTGTGCTCTAATTTAGGATGGATTTCTAATTTTGTGCGCGCACCAACGCGTCTCCTATTGAAATCTCATGTAAAACATGATTTTTCTAGCGGCCCTTGGCTCTAGATCGCATTTACACACACAAAGCACTTGTATCTAAACATCAGCAGGAGGAGCAGCAGGTTTTACAGTGATTCTGGACATCGTTTTTTTTCTTTCAGTCTCGCGTCTGGCCAAACCAGCACAGAGACCATGAAGACAAACACATGCATGTGATTTGTGTTGCTCTACATCAGTCCTCTGGCCCGTACTGTCCTCTACACTGCTCCATAGACTACACAGGGAGAGCATCAGAAGACGTGGACCTGCGCGCACGGCCTGTGTAGATACTCCAAAAAATGTTACGCGCAGAGAGCGCGCACACTGTAAACCCGAACTAGTTATCATTACTAAAGCCGTTTAGGGTAACCGATTGCAACAAAGATTTTAGGTTTTTACAAAATCAAAAACTTAAAGCTTTATGTCATGTTAACGCAGAATCTTTAGTTTTTGCAGAACGATCACTGATTAACTCTAGTAATGATTACCAGTTTATTTAGCTTTAGCACAGCATTACTCAGAATCTTATGCCATCATCACTAAACTGACATTGATTATAATCATTCCATTACTTAATTACTGCATATTTATTACCTAATGTTTTATATATTTTGTAACGTATTGTATTAACCAAAAAATAATGAAACAAATGGATGTTTAATGTCTTTTTATTGAAAGACAGATATTTGAAACCATAAGCAGGAGAGAAGAGACCAGCACTGTTCATATGCAGACGTGAGACACCTGTCCAAACAAACACATAAGAAACACACGTTCAGTAAAATGACATCACAAATAATATATTTGACAACAAAAGTGAAGATTTTTTCTGCTCTTAATGAAAAAAATGAACAAAGTCATAATATCTCATGTATTAAACAATCAAAACTGTGAAATACTTACGTTATGTAAAATTACAGTCTCCGCTGCACATCCTAAATTCTACCCCTGGCCCTGTGTCTGAGGAAACGCATTTTGGTTATTGTTACAGTCAATGCTAAACACACCTAAAACTACCAAAATATTTGAGGGAGAATCACAGCTCTTACCTGAATATCCTCAATCTTCGGTCAACAGATGAAAACATTAGGAAACAATAAATTAATGTGCTGCAATCAGCTCTGGCACCTGGAAAAGATAACAGTGTTATTTTGTCAGTTATATGTGAACTATGGTGTGTTTTGAGCTAACTGCCAAGTGAAATCAGCTGTACAAGCTAACGTAGCTAACCGGCTAACAGAAGCTGGTTGTACTTTGAAGCAAACTTTCATTACAAAGTTAAAATACTGTGATTGGTAGAACCTCTAGTTGCTCAGGATCTTGGATTAGTGAATAATATGAAGTGAAAAACATGTTATTGGACTTACCACAGGGGGAGACAGTTGGTTTTGCTGGAGCCTGTAGACTGTGGCGGTTGAGATTTGAACAGTGGCTAAGCCCCGCCCCCCACACGTAAGCCCCGCCCCCTCACCTGTAAGAACCTAACATGTTCTGCTGTGAGAGCACAGAGCTCTGAGTGCAGTCAGGACTGGGATTTACATGTAAATACAGCACAGCTTCTTTAGTTCTCCATTGAGAATTGTTAAAACTAGTTATTTTTAGTAATTATTACTAAATATAAATAAGCTGAAAAAATAAGGGGTTTACAGTGCAGTAAACGCGTACGCGCTGTTTACGCCTACTGTGTAAATTCCCTGTAAGACTAAACACGCCACAGAACTATTGTCTGCATGTTGTGTTTGTGTCTTTGCAACCTGTGCGTAACCTGTGCGCGCAAATACAGCGCAGGAGTGTCCCTGTCTCCTCCTGAAACTAAACTAAACTGAAACGCTGAATTAAAGCTGGGGTATGTAAATTTCCCCCTTTCATTAACAGCTCATGTTGGTTTTGCCAAAAAGCAAACAGATTTAAGTACATTTGGTATGAATGACAATGTGTCATTATATTTGATAATCTCATTTATCTTCAATTGGAGTGGATTTGAAATAGAATGTTAAAAATGCGATTAATCGTGAGTTAACTCACCATTTCTGTGCGATTAATCAACTAAAAAATTGTAATCGTTTGACAGCCCTAGTTTTTATACTTGGTTATTTGAGTAGAAATGTCATGATTTAGCATCCAGCTTAGACCTTTCCTGTAAGACCTCAGCCAGGCCCGTCCTAAGGGCTGTGCGACCTGTGCCGTCGCACAGGGCCTCGCACCACACAGGGGCCTCGCAATCTTCCTTCCTTTTATTTTATTTTATAAATACACTAGTTCAAGGGTCCCCAAAGGGCAGACTGCACTCCAAATTTGGAACCCTAAACCCCTTTCTCTGGACCTCTTTGATTTCGTTTGATCAAAAGAACATTTTTACAAGTAAAGTCAAATTTTCACCAAAAGCGATTTGTAAACAGGCAGGCGCGCGGGCAGCTATGTATGCAACGGGTCCTCCGAAAAAACTGTCAGATAACTTTAGCAGTGTCTGAGTGAGATACAAAGAAAGTAACGGGAATGATCGCAGTGTAGGAGAGATGGATACTCGCAGAGGAGGAGCAGTGAGACAGGTGTGAGCAGTGGAGCAGACCCCTTTGTGTGAGCAGAGGAGGAGGAGGAGGATCAGCGGTGTGACAGGTGTGTGAGCGCTGCTATTGCCAATGTTTAGTCCGAATATCCACATCAAAAACATATTTTTAAAAGCATTAGCAAACACACTGTATGTCTAGCTTTAGCTAGCTGGAGTGTTTTTGTTGTGGTCAGAGTGTGTGGAGGAGGAGGTGAAGAGTATTTTGTTGTTGTCAGTGTGGAGGAGGAGGAGTGTATGTTGTCAGAGTGTGTGGAGGCATGGCAAAAACGTTATTTGATGAGAAAAAAATAATATTGACTCCGCCTCATAGCCATTTTGGCGCATTTTGCCAAAATCTAACTATTAGAAGAAAAAGACTCCTTTTGGTTCAATCTTTTGAGTTGCTCTACCATTTTGCCACAGGACGAAAGAGACATGTCAGCTAAAAAGACCGCGACCAATATTGCACGTAGAGTGTGTGTGCGTGTGTACGTGCGCGCGCCAAACGCTGCATAGGAGCGAAGACACTCGGTTACACGCGTGCTGATCTCGTCAAGCACCGCGCGAGGTGGTGCTGAATTCATGTCAAAGATTATAACAGGAAAAACTTTCCTCAGATCTGGGAAAAAAGTGTCAGGGCAGGGCCTCGCGTTTCGAGTTCGCACAGGGCCTCGCACCCCCCTTGGGACGGGCCTGACCTCAGCAGATCTGTCCAGACCACATCAAAACAGAACCCTGAGTTGAGTGCGGTGCTCGACTTTCAGCTTTTTGGTTGGATCCATGAACGAAATGTGTTGGCTTTGTCTGGATTGTTACACTACATTACATTTTACTTTCCATTTGCATTTGAGGCAAACAAGTTACTTCATTACTCAGTTTCAACAATTTGCATAATGAAATATTTAATGAAATGAAATATTTTGGGGCGACAGTAGCTCAGTTGGTAGAGCATTGGCCTTAAGGCCAGAAGGTCATGGGTTCAATTCCCACCTCTGCACCTTCTCCACCGACTCCCACTGATGACTGCTGTTGTTGTGTCCTTGGGAAAGACACTTAACCCCACTTTGCCCAAAGCCCCCACTGAAAGATCAAGGCTATGCTCACACTCAGAGCAGCCGTCCTCCTGTGGACTCACCACCTGCAGAGGGTCAGTGAGGGGCTGGTGCTATGAGACTTGGGTGGCATCTCTGACTGCCACCCCCCTGACCCAGAAATGGATTAAAGGGTAGAAAATGGATGGATGGATGGATGGAAATATTTAGCAGCATCAGTGCAAACTATCTGTAAGAAAAGGGAACTGTTCCCATTCACCTACAGCTTCTGTAAATTCAAAACGCTGCAGCTCGAGTCCTGACAAGAACCAGGAAGTACAATCACATTAGTCCAGTCCTCAGGTCTCTGCACTGGCTTCCTGTGGCTCAGATAAAAAACCTTAAAACAGCTCTCCATGACTCGCATGAAAAAGGATATCTTAGTGCCATATGAACCAACTCTGAGGAGCACAGGGACTGGCCTCCTGCTGGGACTCTGAGGAGCACAGGGACTGGCCTCCTGCTGGGACTCTGAGGAGCACAGGGACTGGCCTCCTGCTGGGACTCTGAGGAGCACAGGGACAGGCCTCCTGCTGGGACTCTGAGGAGCACAGGGACCAGTACTTGCTGGGCTAGGCTGAAAACTGTTTTATTAAGCTATTATGTAACCCGGTTAATTTTTCAGAGTATTTTCCTTCCCTCCGCAATTCTCGCGATATTTCAGCATCTGTGCGAGACTTGGGCTAGTCGTGGTTTTAAAGATGGCCGCCGCCTTCTAGTATTAGCCGTTGTACAATTGTCAGATGGAAAAAGTAACTCATTTCAAATATCTGGGGA